CGACGGTCTAATTAGCAATTTGTCTAACTCCTTATTTTTTTCGAAGGTGGTTTTTTAACATTTTGATGTAGCAATAGTCCAACTATAAATTATTTTAATGATTCAAACCAAAATATTATACCTGTATTAGATATTAATGATATTAAATGGTTTTTTAAAGTGATGATAAATTTTGAACTAATTGTTTTTTTCGTACAAATAGAAGATTCTCTAAAATGGAGTTAGACAATTTGCTAATTAAAACGTCGATATCAAATATTTAATATGTGTATATCGAAAGATACTAAGGCGCAAAATTTCAAAAGTTTTAAATATATGTCAAAAACAGTAAAGAGAAAAAAATTGGGTAGTTTTCAAGAATTTCAAACACTAATAAAATTAAAAAAATTTACAATTTTATAAAAATTAAAAAAAAAAAAACATTCTTCGTTGTTCATTTTGCCCCTTTTTTTGAGATATAACTTTTAGACGTAATTAAAAAATTCCAAAAATATTAATGATATTTTTAGAATTAAATTACTAAAATAAATATCCAATTTTCAATATATTTATATTGAAGGATACTAAGTCGTAAAATTTCAAAAGTTTTAAATATATTTTAATCATTTTTTAAACGAGTGAATTTTTTCTTAATTTAAATCACACAAAATAGCCTCAAAAACAGTAAATAACAAAAAAAATTGGGTAATTTTCAAGAAATTCAAACATAAATAAAATTAAAAAAATTTACAATTTTATAAAAATTAAAAAAAAAAAACTTTTTATTGTTCATTTTGCCCCTTTTTTAAAATACACCTTTTAGAAGTAATTAAAAAAAATTATTCTCACTGATTTTGACGTTTTGATCAACTTTGAGCTAATTTCCAAAAAATATTTTTTTTGTACGCTTTTTTGGTAATTGCTACGCGATTTATGTACCACGTCTCTCCTTCTAAAATATTATTATGATATTACGTGTTTTTGGAATGTTTACAACAACACAGTACTCAGTCTTCTCAAAACACTCTAACGCGATAAAAGCATTAAAGAAATTGTTGTTTTGTAACTTAAATGGCTCGTAAACAATTCTTGAATTATTATTTTTATCTCAGAATTTATTTCTTCAATTTTATTAAAAATTTATTTTTAATTTAATTACAAATTTATAATTGTAATTTTTAAAAAATAAGAAAATTATTTAAAAAAAAAAACAATTTAAAAATTAATATTAATATCAATTTAAATTAATATTTCTATAAAATTTTTATTATTAAATTTATTAAAATATTGATTTATATTTTTTTTAAATAAAATAACCGGGAAAAAAAATTATCGCGACATTGTAAACTTCTATAACTGGTTAATCGATACAAAACAATCACTTGAGGATTAATTAAATTTTTAAAGGCAAACAAACTTTTCCGAGTTATTTAAGTAAATAAAATAGATCTTAAATAAGATTATAGAGGCAATATATTTAATGAATAACTGTAAAGTTGATTGTGTTTATTTTTAAGATTGTTTTATTTTTCCGGGTGGATTAAAAGTAGGAGAGAAGAAACCGAAGAACAAGAAAGAGTTAATCAATCTGGGCTTGAAATAGCTTAAAAGTAATTTAATTAATTAGGAAAAAGTTTGTTACCGCCAAAGTAATTACCTTGAATTATTAACGCAGTGATTTTAAATTGCTTTGATAAAAAATAACTTGCTAAAAACTAATTGGATTAAATCACAGCGTAAACATTTATTAGTTCGGCGATTGTATCGGATTGTAATTGTT